CCTAAGTCCGGAGGAATAAGAGATCTTCTGATGGAAGAAGCTCACAAAACCATGTACTCAATTCATTCTGGCAACACTAAAATGTATAGGGACCCGAAACCCTATTATTGGTGGCCGACGATGAAGCTTGATATTGCAAAGTACGTGGCAGAATGTGTGACGTGTACTAGAGTCAAGGCACAACATCAGAAACCATATGGGAGTTTAGAACCTTTACCTATACCTATGGGTAAATGGGAAGACATTGCCATGGATTTTGGTTCTAAACTACCCAGAACAAAGAACGATCACGACATGATTTGGGTGGTCGTTGATCGCTTAACTAAGAGTGCGCACTTCACAGCAGCTAAAGGGGAATGGTCTATGGAAAAGCTTGTGAATTCTTACGTGAAGGAAACTGTGAGGCTTCACAGTGTTCCATTAACGAATGTATCGGACCGTGACAACCTTTTCACCTCAAGATTTTGGAAAAGTCTACAAGAGGACATGGTGGTCAGATCGAAATAATGATACAAACACTTGAAGATATGTTGAGAGCATGTACCCTGAAATTCCTAGGTAACTGGGATGAACATTTACCTTTGGTAGAATTTTCCTACAATAATAGTTTCCACTTGATCATAAAGATGGAACCTTATCAAGCTTTGTACGGACAGAAGTTTCGTACACCGTCTTGTTGGCTTGAGGCTGGGGAAAAGCAGTTTATGGGACCAGAGATGGTTCATCAAACAGCTGAAAAGCTGAAAATAATCAGGGAAAGAATGTTAGCAGCTCAGGACCGTTAAAAGAGCTATGCTAACAAAAAGTGAATACCAATGACTTTTGAAGTTGGAGATTCGGTTTTGCTTAAAGTCTCATCGTGGAAGGGACTTATAAGATTTGGAAAAGGGGGAAAGTTAAGTCCAAGGTTTATTGGACCGTTTAAAGTTCTTCAGAGGGTTGGAAACCAAGCTTACAAGCTCCAATTACCCGAAGAACTGAATGGAATTCATAACACTTTCCATGTGTGTTATTTGAGGAAGTTCACTGGAGAAGTTCCCGATATAATTCCAATTTTGGAATTAAGAATTGATGAGAACAAAAGCTTAATTGAAGAACCAGAGGCAATCGTTGACCGAAAGACTAAGAAGTTGCGACGCAAGATGGTCGAGTTAGTGCTTGTCCGATATTAACATACAAATGGGCCAAATCTCACCTGGGAAATGGAGAGTGACATGTTGAGTCGCTATCCGCATTTGTTTGTTGATATGTGATTCTGGGGACGGAATCATCCTAAGGGGAGAGAATTGTAACGCCCACGTTTCTAGGCTAGGCATTAACGTTGATATAATAGTATAGGTTGACCTTTGTAACTCTTTTAAAAGTAATAATGATGAAATATTTGAGTATTATGTGAATTATGTGTTTATTTGCTTAATTATTATAATTTAATGAATAAAGAATAAAATAAACGTCAAAATTAAAGTATGATATAAGCCCGATATCTTTACATAAAGTTGTAGTGGTTGAAACAAGGATTCCAGAAATATAAAGAATGTCGAAATCCGAGTTATAACAAAGAAGTTATGACATGTTGAAGTTTCGCGACAGAACCGACACGACGCTGAGTGATGTAAAATATGAATTTAAGATAGAACGATATCTAGCCTAAATGATCTGAATTAAATTCGAATATTATGTTAAACCGAGAGCGTGCATAAAAAGAACGCCCAAATCTGACGCCTCCTGGAGTCTGCCAGACCCAACTTGCAATAACGCATGCAATGATGATCAATCCCACGACGTGGAAACACTATCCACGACGTGGAAAATGAAAATTTTGCCCTATAAATAGATTTAAAGTGGCAGCCGACCAAGGTTGCTAATTCACCCTTCTCCCACCCATATTACCTCGATTTACGTGCAAAGAAGTACCCCACGAAGCCCCGATATCATCCTGAGACCCAAAGCAAGTCCCGAAGCCCGAAGATCCCAAGAAGAAAAGAGTTTCCGAGCCGAAGCTCTGCCCGCGAGAAGTCCGGTGTGTGAAGATATCCTAGATCCATCAAAGAATTTCCACTTGAAGTGCCGAAGTGCTGTCCGAGCATCGTCTTAACAAGTGAGTGTGTGGTTACTTTCTTTTAGTACATAAATATGAAGTATTTGCTTTGAAATATGTGTTATGTGTTTATATATTGTTGTTTATTTGAAGTGTATATTTCTTTTCTTCTAACACACCGATACAAAGTATTCTATATAAAATATGTGTTATGTGTTTATACATTATTTGTTCATTTGAAATAAGTGTTGAATAAATGTTTTATACAAATTTTAAACTGTATATGTATTTTTATCTACAAAAATGTTGGGTAAAGCATGGGTAGATAGTTGATGTGTGTTAAAATGAAGAGAGGCATCGATGTTGTTTTCGATTTAGTCATCTAGCGGAGTTTAGATGACGACCACAGACTTTTCTAGACAGTCCTGTGGAACGCTAGCAGGCTCGCCATCTGTAGGTGTTAATGAACTTGGGTGTTCATTCGCTGTACTCCATCCCCTTCATGGTTGTCTTATTTGACATATATTACTGGGAAACCCCCGAGGCATGTGTTGTCGCCCCGATGAAATATTCTTAGACTAGGTCCCTTGTGTTAGTTGTCTTAGGGACGCAAAGTGAGAATAACGGGAATGAGTAATTGAGTTATTTTTGGTTGATGAAATTAAATAAATATTTATTGTGGGTTGAAAACCCTATATGCTTACCAAGCTCCCAAGTCTGACACACTCAGTTTTCTTTGTATTACAGGTAGTGGCGCCAAAGCATAAGTTGGATGACTTGTCAAGATTATTTTTGGATTATAGACATTTTGTTATATTTAACTGTTGTAAGGTCTATTTTGTAATGTTTATTCTTTTGGTCTGTTTATCGAAACATAACATCCCGAGTTTTATTATATAATGAAAATACATTTATTTAAGAAATGCTTTGGTGAATCTTATTTTATCATATTTTGTTTTGGGAACAAATTACACAACTCTTTTAATCAAATGATTAATCTGAAATTATTTTAAAAACATAAATTAAACCGGTCTTTTGTAGTTGTGATTTTGGGGATGTCACAATGGTGGTTCAAATTCTTTTTCTTTTGTTTGAGTTGTGATTGGCTTAGAGTAAATATTGGTAGTAACATGAGCACTCCTTCTATTGTACGTCAGTATTGTTTGTCGCCATGTGACCTTGATTGTATAGAGGTAACTACACATAGCTAGTGGGTTAGCCGATTTGCTAGCGTAGTTGCTTGGTAGCATGGGCGCAAGGCGGCCATACTGTTAAGTTATTAAATTGTCTTAATAGTAGGACTGTTAAGATACAAGGCAATTCTTTTGTCATTAAGCATATAATGTATGGCCGTATCTACGAGATTCATTATCACTAAATATTTTGAACCATATTTTATGCACTCAAAATATATGACTCAATTGGTTTTTGTGGGAGCTTAAGAAAACTCTTCCAAAAACCAAAAGTTTGTTTTCTTGTTTCCCTTTTCTTTGTAGCATTACTTTCAGCACCATTTGATTCATTTTCTTGCAGTTTCTTCGATTAAATCATCAATTTCATCATGAATGTCCATATGTTTGGTATGAGTATCTTCCATAACTCAACTAGCAAAATAAATAACATGTTTTATTAGGACCGAGTGTAAGAAATTGAAAGAAATTATGATTGTAAGTAGCCATCTAAAGTTTAGAGGTTCCGACTGCTAACTCATCAAGTGTCGATTGGAAATTAAGGTCAACACTGATATCACATAAATATCCGTTCTCCAACGGTAGGGTCGATTGCAAGAAACAAATCAACAATAAGTAAAAGGACAATACCTTACAAATGTTGGGAGAACCGAAAAAAATGTATTTTGGAAGCAAACGAATGGAAGGGCCAATGATGAAATCATGTTATGTCGAGAATGTGGAATTATGGGTTGTCATAATAGATGCCGAGTGTATAGACGATCGTTTCTTATCAATGATTTTCATTACTCGGGGCATAAGGGTGCCATCACATATTCAAAAAACAAATATTCTTTTTAACCTGACGGATTGACACGTCCACCTACAAACCTGTCCACCAACCGAAACACGACCCGTTTTTCCATACCGGTTATACAAAAAGAACCCAAACCCATTTAAAATCGATCCAAACATGTTTATTTATGTGTCCCTGTCAAGAATTGACATCTCTAACCATTTCAACTTCTAGACATCATAATCCTCTAGTTATAGACCAACTTTTACTTTATGAATGCATTAAAAACCACTCAATTAATAAATCCACGAGTCATATAGTTTCAATAATAAGTTGAGAAAATAAAAGAGTTAGGGTTGATGGTGTCCTCTGTTTCTCTTTATGGTGTTGTGATCTGACACTGCCCAATAATTTAAATTGATTTGACCTAAGGGGTATCTTTGCCAGTCAAATTTGCAGGTCCTATAGCTTTTAAGGACTCGTCAGTATATTAAATCCCAAACAAACTGCCAAATTCCATTCATAAACTCCACCATCTTCACAAAAAAATATAGTAAAACATTATAAAGAAAAAGAAATAGACATTTTGTTGTACCATAAAAACATCAAAATGATGCTTCATGTCATATCATTTCTCCAAACTTTTTCAATCTTTCTTTGCATGTGATATGTTTCAGTCTTTCAACACAACTAACTCTATTCTTCCAAATTATTACATGTATACTTTTAACATTTTATAACATACAGATATTCTATAAAAATACAATAAAAAAAAATGAAGTCACTCAGTGTATGACATGCATTTAAATCTTGGTGTACATGTGTATTATGTAATATGAATTTCCGTAAAGGTGGCAGAGATACATAGGTAGCAAACAACGACTGAGTGAAATCTGGTGTTGTGTGAGGTAAAGGGACCCCTCAAGAACACAACAAATTTACACAGTTGAGTGCAGAAGAGAGAAGGGGTGGGGTGGGGGTGGGGGTGGGGGGTATAGTACCCCTACCCCTATATACATAGGAACCCCATCTTCCCAACAACAGAGTATCTCAGAGGTGGTGTATTAAACCAAGAGTTTGAATCAAGGAGACAAGATGATGAGTAGTGGTAGTAACCTAAATCTTTTCACAGCAGCACAATGGGAAGAACTGGAACAGCAAGCTTTAATCTACAAATACATGGTTTCAGGTGTTCCTGTACCTACTCATCTCATTTTGTCTGTCAGAAGAAGCTTATACAACTCTTCCTTTACGAATCCCTGTAATCAATGTAAGTAAATTGATTAAAAGTTAAAACCCTAGTTTTTTTCGTTGATTCTTGAGTGTTGATTTGTATGATTTGATTGTGTTTTGTTTGTAGTTGGAGTATGGGAAGGAAACTTTCAGTATAATCAGTTGTATCAAATTGGGGGGAGGAAAATCGATATGGAACCAGGAAGATGTAGAAGAACAGATGGAAAAAAATGGAGGTGTTCGAAGGAAGCGTACCCGGATTCGAAATACTGTGAGCGACATATGCATCGTGGTCGTAATCGTTCAAGAAAGCCTGTGGAATTATTATCTTCTTCTTCAACTACTTCTTCGTCTTCTTCGTCTACCGCTGTTAACGTTTCTTCATCGCCATTAACGACAACCACAAATATCTCGAAATCGATCTCGCCTTCTGATCATCTTACGTACCACAACACCACCCTCCACACTCGGTCGTCTCCTATTCAGACCAACTTCGTCGATTACAGGTTCGTTTTCTGCGATTCTCGCAACTTTTCCGATGTTTGAGTTGAATTAGGGTTTTGTTTTATCGATTGGATGAATGAACATAGGTACTTGCAAGATGAGAGATCGGTTTTCTTCCCACAAAACGATCCATACACCTCACAAAAGATGACTGTTAATGCTCCATCTTCATCCGATCATCAAAACTACTCTCACTTCAACTTTCAGAATCTCAAAAATCAGCAACATCACAAAGAGGAAGATATCGATTTCATAAAATCATCGGAAGAAACCAAATCCAGTATCCCAATCGACACAAAACTCGATGAAATTCCCAATAAACAAACATTCCACCACTTTTTTGCACCACCAAAACCCAACGACACTCCTAGCTGGGTTGACGTTGACCATCATCATCATCATCAACACCAAAACCTCATAAACCCACAGAAATCGCCATTGTCCACCCAAGACCTTTTCCAATCCAAACCCAGATCCTACTGGTAGTATAAGAAAGAGAAAGATAATGATATGAATTTGGGATTATTACTCTTATTAGTAGTAGTAATTAGTAAGTAAGAATGTTTGTTTAAGAATTATTAAGAATTAAGAATGAATGGTATTGGTAGGTAGATGTTGGGGTAAGGGGGGTAAAAAGTGTTTGTGGAGTTTACTTGTCATTATCAAGATATTGTAAAACACAGTTTTCAGTTTTCACTTTCATCTGAATCTGAATATGAATAGTGGTACTACCACCCAATTGCATTATCTCTTTTTTATTTATTATTTTTATTTTTGTATGTTGAATCAAGTCAATAGTACAGATAGTCAAAGCTAGTAGTTGACTTGATAAATATATGGAGTTCTGAATTTTGCAATGGGGAATATGCCAATTCATTCTGTTTTTTCAAAGTGGAATTCATTATGAAATGTGTTTGGCAGAAAGGTGTGTATGGTTTAAAAGTACAATCACTCAGAGGGAAACAACTGTCTTCCTAGTGCCTATCCCCCACAAACATTTGTCTATGCTCATCTACATTCTGTTCATCATGTATAAGTTTGTGTAAAAAGCAATAAAGAATGTATAAAATATTTAGTGAAATGAAGACACTGGTTTTCTATATACATAAGGTTGAGTGTTGAAGTGAGTGTTCAAGTCAGGTTTTAAGTAAGAATTGGTCAAAAGAGAGTATGTAGCGTACGATCCTGTTTTAATATATTATCTACGGGACGAGTCTTCTTCTTCTATCCTGTTTTAATATATTATCTACGGGACGAGTCTTCTTCTTCTATCCTGTTTTAATATATTATCTACGGGACGAGTCTTCTTCTTCTATCTTTGCAAAAGCAGGGAGATGGTGGTCCGTTGAACCCATTTTTTAATTTGAATGGACAAAATAAAAGAAGACAATAGTGGAAGAATCTTGGTGTTTACGGACTATGACATTTTTACCCTTCGAGTATACATACTATTTTGGCCGCTTTGCAATTTAATTTTAGAGAAATTTGTAGGAAAATCTCAATATTTTGAGAAAAATGTTTTAATAAAGCCTTAATTTTTTTTTTTTTTTGTTTAAACATAAAAGTTTCAACTATTTAACTTTTGAATAGAAAAGATTAAGAAACCGACTAATTTATTCATTTTTGCCATTTTAACCTGTTTAACAGGTCATGTGACAAAATCATTAACTTTTGCAAAATTATATGAATTTTCTGTAAATTTTGTCAAAACTTATATATAACGTATAAAAATATTTTTTTACGTATTTATTTGTATTTTTACATATTTGTATATTTTTTAAGTTTTTATATGTATATGATTACGTATTTTTATGTATTTTAAATATATAAACATATTTTTTACGTATTTAAACGTATATTTTAATATTTAATATATATTTTTATGTATTTTAAATGTCTAAACATATTTTGTTATGTATTTATATGTATATTTAAGCATTTTACATAATTTTTATGTATTTTTACGTATTTTAAATATATAAACGTATTCTTTACGTATTTATATGTACATTTAAGTATTATATATATATATATATATATATATATATATATATATATTGTGTTATTTTTTATTTATTACGTATTTATATATTTTTATGTATTTTAAATGTATAAAAATATTTTTATGTAAAATACATAAATACATATTAATACATATAAATACTTAATAAATAAAAAATAACACATAAAAATATGTATAATACTTAAAAATACATATAAATCCAAAAAAAACTACTTTTAAAGAGTTACAATACATAAAATAAAAATCTATATAAAAAACTTAAAAATTTTAAATACGTAATACATAAAAAAAATATTTAAAATGCTTAAAAACACATAAATACATAAAAAATACATTTATACATTTAAAATACATAATAATACAAAAACATCCATATAAAAAACTTTAAAATATACATAAATACATATAAATATGTAATACCTAAAAAATAACACATAAATACATAAAGAATATTTAAAATACATAAAAAAACATATAAATATGTAATAAAAAAACATTTATACACTTAAAATGAATAAACATCCCTATAAAAAACTTTTAAAAAAAATACATAAATACGTAAAAAAAAATACATAAAAATACTTAACATATTCATATAAAAACTTGACAAAATTACACAGACGGTCCTTGTGGTTGGCACAACAGACCAAAGATAGTCCTTATGAGAAATTTTGAATGAGTATGGTCCCTTTGGTTCCTAATTGTTGCACGGACAGTCCTTATGACTTATGTAACGCCCGCATATTCGGGCTAGTTAATTTAGAGACAATAAGCATTAAAAATGAGTTATTGATGAATATTATTTAGAAGGAGTAATCTTAACCAAGTGGTATTATATGTTACAAGGGTTCCGTACATATAA